GCGCCGCGGCACGCCAGGTGCGCGCCGACGCCGCCCGGCGGGCCCGAGGCGAGGCCGCTCAGCCCTCGTGCTGCACGCCCAGCCTCCCCTCCTCCGCTGCTGGCCCTCTCCCCCTTCGGCGGCGCGCCTGGAGGTGGAGCAGTGAGAAAGAGCAAGGCCAGCGCTCAAGCTAAACCGTCTGGTTCGTTTTCGTGTTGTTTTCGTTATCTCCTTCGCTCTGTCTTTGCTCTGCCTCTGCTGCCAAACGAAATCAAAACGAAAACGGCCCACGACATCGCCAAAACTCCGTTCAGCGGCGGGGCTTCTCACACCCATCGCGTCTGCTGAAAAGGCTCAGGAAACTGTTCGGAAGGCCCGAGGCCCGCCCCTTCTGAGAAGGCCCGCCCCTTCTCTCACTTCCCCCCCAGGCTCGCCGCCGACGTTCGGCGGCGAACGCAGGGGGTAAGTTCTGGGTTCAAGAAGGTGTTTTGCCTCTTTTCTTCTCCAGGGGTCCGTGGGCCTATGTTGAGCGGATTTGCCCCTTCCGCAGCATCTGTCAGAAGGCTCAGAGGGCCTCGGGCCTCATGGGAAGTCGTCGAACGAACATTTTCCGAAGCGCACAAAACCTTTCTGAGAAGCCCCGCCGCCTTCTGAGAAGGCCTGCCCCCTCTCACGTCCCCCCCCTGCGGCGCGCTGCCGTCTCTCCCTTTCTCTCTCTCTCTCTCGCTCTCCCTCTCTCTTGGGCAGGGCGGATAGCCTGGTGCAGGAACATTGCGTTGTACCGCTCGGGTTGCACATCGAGCCGCATCGCCGGTGCATCGGCGATGCGGCGCGATCCTCCGACTCCGTATGCTTTGACCCAATCTAAGAGGCGTCGACTCTCTCTCTCTCTGTGTCTCTCTCTCTCTCTCTGTTTCTAGCTCTCTCTCTATCTCTCTCTCTTTCGCTTTCGTTTTCTCTCTTTTGTTGTTTCTTTATTTCTTTATTTCTCTCTGTTTTTTTTTTCTCTCTCTTTCTCTCTCTCCCTATCCCAGGGGCGACGATAGGGATGATAACCCAAGGATTCACAACTCTCGCATCCACTGGCGCCGACGGCCCACGTCTTCGGCGAGGCTCCCAGGCGCATGCGTGTAAAGCCGGCTCGTGGGCTATTCGCTCCCTCCGCCGCCACTTTCTCTCTCTCTCTCTCTCTCTCTCTCTCTCCCTTTCTCCACCTCCCCCTGTCGATCCCTCGGGGGGGGGGGGGGGGAAAGGGGGGGGGAGCGGGGCGGCGCCTTCGCTCTCAGCGCGCGAGACGGGGGGGGGATCGAGGAAGAAGTCGAAGATCGAAGAGGATCGGGGGAGGATCGACAAGGGGGACGGGGCCGCGGTGCACAGTATGCAGAGCGATCTACGCGGTGCGATCTATGCGGCGGAATTTACCTGGTGCAGTATATGTGGTGCGATTGTTTTTTGCAAACGAATTGACACATCCCATGTTCTTGCAAGCGTTCCACCCGTTAACCCGCAACTTGGTTTGGAAAACCAAGTCTGTGGCGATTGCGATGGATGCTTTTCGTTCGCTGGTGCATCTCTGCGGCCGAGCCAATTCAAGCACACGCGCGCGCTGCGGCCAGCTAGTTTGGCACGACCGACGCGGCCGCGTTGGCGCTGACCGCTGGGCACATCCCAGCGGGCACTCCAATGCGAGTCGGCGGCTTGGGCGGGCGCGGTATCATGGCAACGTCGACAACGGTGGACACGATGATGATAATGGTAGCGATGCTGGTAACGGGGTTGACAACGACGACGGCGCGGCCAGTGCGGGCGACGATGCTGAACACGCCGGCGACGATGACAGTGTCCTCGCGTCGGTGATGAAGGTGTTGGAAAGAATGTGCGCGCGGCCGACGCGCGAGAGTGGCTCGCGTGGAATTATTTGATGCGGATCCCCCCCCCCCAGCGCGAGCAAGGACGCGCGAATGATTTCGGCATGCGGCGCCAGAGGCCCGCTTGGCAGAATTTCGTGGAAATTCTGAAACTGCGAATCAAGAGCGCGAGCGTGCGTTTTTTCGGAAACTGATGTTGCGAAACCATGCGTTTGTATATATTGTTTGGACACTCGGCATTGACATCGCCACGCAACCTACAGATTTTGAGAATGCCAGCGCGCGCGAGACGACGCGCCCGCGTGCACTTCGTACTGTTGGCTTTAAAAAATTATCGCGACGACGCGCGCAAAAAGGCGTTCGAACTATGGTTGTCTCAAGAGTTCGCCAGAGGGCGTAAGCTATTTTGTTTGAAATACCTCGTTGCGAAAACCTGAGTTCCTTTGTTTTCCGGGCGTTCGATTTCAAAATCCGCGCGGAACCAAAAGGCTTCCGATGAATTTCGGCACGCGCGCGCGACAGCGAGCGCGCGTGCACATAGTCTTTTTCTTGCTGGGGATTCCTGCAACCTTATGATTTGTCATAAACGAGTGCGCGCGCATAATACTTTTTGACCAAAGGATGAAAAAAGAAAAGGCGGATGCCGGCTCGCCCGGGACGGCATGAACTTCTACATTGGGCGATGGGGCATAATCATACGTACACTTCACGTCCACAGGGGGGGGCTAAGTCCCGACTTCGGGAGGGCTGTGGGCCCGACCTTCTCACGACAAACATGCATGCTGCGTAAGCTATGTGAAGCAACATCTTGTATGTTACAACGGGAAGCAACGCAGAGCAATGCCAAACGACGCAACGCAATGCGACGCAACGCCGTGTGAAGCAACGCGGTACACTGCGAACCGACGCAACGCAACGCAAAGCCACGCAACGAAATACGCGCCACCCAACGCAACGCAACGCAACGCCACGCAACGCCATGCAACGCAAAGCAACGCAGAACAACGCCAAGCAATGCCAAGCAACGCACAACAGTGCAACGACAAAGAATGCGACGGGATGAAAAACAGTGCGAAGCAATTCGCAGCGATGCAAGGCAGCGCAAAACCATGCATATTAATGCAAAGCGCGGTGTAGCAACGCACAGCAACGAAACTCAACGCAATGCAGTGCAACGCAAAGCGACGGGAGCCCAATGGCGAAAAGCAGGGCACGGCAACGCTGAACAATGCAAAGCCTTGCAAAGATACGCGAAACCATGCAAAACAGTGCGCAACGGGCGGCGACGGCGGTCGCGCGGCGGCCAGAGCGGCCCGCAGGCCCAAGCGACGGGCGGCGGCCAGGCCTAGACGACGGGCGGCGACGGCGACGACGCTGCAGCGGTACCGCCACGCAGACCCAGACGACGGACAGCGAGCGACGTGGCGGCAAGTGCGGCCACATAGCCGCCGACTGCCCCGTCGCTCGACGAGCCGCCGTCGGGGATCTTCTCGACGGGCGCGAAGCTCCTGTTGAGCGGCAGCGCCGGCTCGCGGAGGCGCGGGAGGCCCGCGGGGATCTCGGGAAGGGCCTTGGCGATGCGCTACTAGTAGGAGCAGAACCCTGAGGCGGCCGACCTCGTCGGCGCCGAGCTCGTCGCTGGTACCGGCAAACCTGATCACTTTCGAACGGAAGCTCGGCGCGATCTCAAAGATGTTCTCAAGCGGCTCGCCGTGGTCCCCGAAGACTTCGCACAAATACTTGGCGCCCTCGATGTGCGTCTTGTCGTAAAGGGCGACTGCTGGCTCGCTCAAGATGCCCGCGCACGCGATCGCCTTGAAGTCTCCGCCCATGCGCGCCACCTCGAGGGTGGCCTGCTGCGCGCTCGAGGGCCAGAGCTCGTTTTTCGGCCTTGGAAAAAAAAACGCCGTCATCATCGCGGCGTCGGTCCTTTGGGCGTTGGATTGGCAGTGCCGCATTTCGGCGACGCTCGCCTTGTCGGTGATAAAAGTGAGCTTCGTGATCACCTTCTGGATCTGGGCGGTGATCTGCTCGTTCAGTTTGGCGATCTGCTGCAGGGCGTCGAGGGTTTGCTCCTCGATGGGCTTTGAGGCGGCCATGCTCGCGGTAGGCGGCTCGGCGGGACGGAGAGACTCGGAGGTTTCGCGGTTCAGGGAAGCTCGGGCCAACGTATGCGGAGAAAAAAGGAAATTGGGGGGGGGAAGGGGGAGGGGCAGCAGCAGCAACACGAGCAGGAACAGGGGGGAGCAGGAGCAGGAGCAGGGAGCAGGATCAGCCTGACTTGGGAAGGCTGAGTGAAATTGTGGAAAGCCCATACACAGCCCTGCCACACGTTCCTGACTCGGGAAGGGCTAATAAAGTGAGAATTCCAAATCCTTGCCACACGTTCATGACTTGGGGAAACTGAAATGGGGGGAGTCCCAAAACCGTCGCACACCTTCGTGACTTGCGAAAGTTATAACGGTGAGAACCCCATTGCCATGCAACGTGTGTTTTCATATGTTGCTATTCAACATAAGAAGATCGCAATTTCAATTCGTAACTTTCCCCCGCGATAGCAAAATTCGGCTTTGCCGCCCCTCTCCCCCAACCAACTGTCTTGGCCGGGGAAAATCAGCTAGCTCTCAGGGGGAAAGGCAGGTATGATTTATTATCTGGGGCATGCAGTTATTGGCGCAGGTTCAGGACGAAGGGGAGGAGGGAGAAAAAGCCGAAAATGTCCACGGGCAAAATCGGAACCACGGTTTCGGCGCGGATCCGGCCGTGAACACTGAGAAGCCTGCCGGAGGCACAGACAACGCCAGACACTTCAATACACTTCCATTCGAAAGCCCCGATCCTCTATCCAATTCCCCCCCCCTGACACCATATTTTTTCATGATATGCACCCCGGAGATCTCGCGCCTCTCCCCAGGACCAGCTTTCCATCCAAAGTAGTTGTGTGACGGTCCCGCGGCCTGGCGAGGACCCCCAGAGGCAGAAACATTGAGAGGCCGCCAAGCGTGATTTTCACGACGCGAGTGGCATGGGATCACGGAGGAGGATCGGGAGCGGAACCGCCCCCCTGCCGTTGCGCCCTGGCGCCGCCCCCGCGAACCAGGAGTAAAACTCCGACCACAGGGCCTCGAGCTGCGGGTACGCGTCGTGCAGCGTCTCGGCAGGGGCGGCCGCCACAGCTGCCGCTCCTCCTCCTCCTCCTCCTCCTCCTCCTCCTCCTCCTCCTCCTCCTCTCTCCTCCTCCTCCTCCTCCTCCTCCTCCTCCTCCTCCTCCTCCTCCTCCTCCTCCTCCTCCTCCTCCTCCTCCTCCTCCTCCCTCCTCCTCCCCTCCTCCTCCTCCTCCTCCTCTCCTCCTCCCTCTCCTCCTCCTCCTCCTCCTCCTCCTCCTCCTCCTCCTCCTCCTCCTTCTCCTCCTCCTCCTATTCTTCACCGTCGCCTCCTTCTTCTCCTCCTCCTTCTTCTCCTCCTCCTCCTCCTCTTCCTCCCGGGTCCTTTTCACGGGTCCTCTTCCTCCTCCTCCTCCTTCTCCTCCTCCTCCTCCTCCTCCTCCTCCTCCTCCTACGTCTTCTCCCACCTTTTCCGCCTACTCATGCTCCCCTCCTTCTGTTCCTGCTGCTTTCTCCTGCCTCCTCGTCGTCCTCCTTCTCCTCCTTCTCTCTCACAGAATGTTCTTCATCTCCTCCTCCTCCTCTTCCTGTTCCTCGTCCCCCTTCCATCATCAGATTATTTCTGGTGGTGGTCGTCGTTCCCCTCCTCCCCCTCATCCTCCTCCTCATCATCATCAACATCACCACGACCATCCTCATTACCACCACCACCATCACCACCACAACCATCATCATCAGCATCATCATCAGCAACAACATCATCACCATCATCACAATCATCGGCCTCGCCGTCGCCATTATCACCACCACCATCATCACTATCATCAACAACAACATCACCGCCATCATCACCACCACCACCATCACGGCCACAACCACCACCACCACCATCATCATCATCATCATCATCAACATCATCAGCATCAGCATCATCATCAGCATCATCATCACCATCATCATAAGCACAATCATAATCATACTCATAATCAACATCATAATCATAATCATAATCATCATCATCATCATCATCATCATCATCATCAGCATCAGCATCAGCATCATCATCATCATCATCATCATCATCATCATCATCATCATCATCATCATCATCATCGTCATCGTCATCGTCATCGTCATCGTCATCGTCATCATCGTCATCGTCATCATCGTCATCATCACCCGCCTCCCTCTCCGCCCCATCGTCCGAATCTTACGCTTCCTCCTGGCCCTGCTCCTCCTCCTCCTCCTCCTCCTCCTCCTCCTCCCACTCTCCTCCTTATCTTCCTGCTCGAGGTGTTTGGGTGCAGGCCACAGTGGCCTGCGACACCTCCGCGGTCGCGCGACCACGGGCGCCGCTACGCCGCGCGGCCCCGATTGGGATCCGGCCTGGCACCGCAGCCGCCGCAAGGAGCGTGCCGACGCACGAGTTCTCCTGCGGCTAGGCGCGGCGGCAGGCCTCCTGGACAGGCACCACAGCAGCGGCAGGATGGCACCAGGGGATCGTGCATCGTCGCGATCGACGGGCCATACGTCAACCTGGCACTGCTCATTCGTGAAGTGCGGCCAGGACAATTTTGCTTCGAGAACGACGTGCAGAGGCTGCGGAGCGCCCAAGGGAGGAGGAGGCGAAGGCCTGAAGGGCAAGGCCAAGCCCCCCTGGAGGAAGCGCTCAGCCTCAGCAGACAGAGGAGGAGGTCAAAGGAGAGGAGCCGCGGCAGGAGACCTCGGTGGTGCGGGCGCAGGAGTGCCAGCAGGCTCGGGCAACATCGGCATCCTGCCCATGCTGCCGAAGCTGGCTCAGCATCACCCCAGCTGGCTGACCGCCCCGCCGATCGCAGCAGGACTCAAGCGCCACAGGGAGTCCTTGCGCAAGGCGATGGTGGCGGCGGCCGAGGCGGTGAGGGCGATCCGCAGCATGCCGCCCGAGCAGGTCTCCCCGCAGCGCCTCAAGCAGGCGGAGAACGAGTACGCCGCCCTCCACTGCCAGGTCATCCTAGCTAAGGACCCGACCGTGCGCATGGAGAAGCAGGAGCAGTTCGTCAGCAAGGCCAAGAAGGCGCTGTCGGCCGCAAAGGACGCCCAGTTCGCCGCGGAGCTGGCGGCAGAGGCGTGCAAGGCAGAGACGGCCAAGGCCCAGAGGGAGTACCAGCATGCGCAGGAGTTCATGGCGCAGATGGCGCAGCTCGAACACTGGTGCGCCTACCCTCCAGAGGGAGGATCCCCCGCAGCTGCGGGGCCAGCCGCGCACAAGTCCGCCAGGGATGCGGCGGTGCCGGACGACAGCGACGAGGAGATTGAGGACGCGGACGACGATGTCTACGGAGGAGGCTCGTCGGGGCAGCAGCAGATGCCTGTGAGACCAGCCTGGTCGCACACAGGCACGGCCCAGGATCAGAATCGCGTCGCGAAGCTGGAGACACAGATGGGGTCCATGCAGGACACGCTGGGGCAGATCCTCGCTGCGCTCAATGGGCAGCCCCTCCAAGGCCGGCCCCCACAGGCCGCAGGGGCGGAGGACATCCCCGTTCCAGGTGGAGGAAGGCTGCCCACCAGCCAGAAGAGCGCAGGCAAGGCTGCCGATTCCCCGGCCAAGGCGTTTGCGGAGCCGCCGCCGCCAGGCCAGAGGAGGCTCGCCCTGGCGCCGGGAGGTGCAGCCATGGACACCGCAGAGGGAGCAGTCAAGGTCATGAAGGACGAGAACGGCGACCCAGTCGTGGTTGAAGTGTGGTCCGCCCGAGCCCCCCTCCAGGAACTGCAGCAGTGCCTGGCGCCACCTGCCGCAGACGCAAACGCCATGAGCGACGTCAGAGTGGGGCAGCGGCTGGATGCTAACGCGCGGCCGTTGGGCTAGTTTACCCGGGCCAGCCCCCGCTACCGTCTTCAGCGGCGACGGAAGCAACAAGGGGGTGTGGCCCGGTAGACAGTGCCGCCACCACGTTTTCAACTACAGAGGCGCTGCCAGGAAGTGGTGTGGCTACGCCGATACCAGACACAGCAGCAGCCATGGCCGTGCTGAGGGCAGCATGGCCGATCTCCATCGACAAGGGTTTCGTCGAGCACGGAGAACAATACCTTCACAGCTCCACCAAGGGAGTACTTTCCAAGCGCTCGCGTCTGCAGGGCGACTTCGTTCCAAGCCTATTCGAGACGCTACTCATCTACACGGATGGCTCAGGCGGCAGTACGCTTGGTCATCTTCCTGGGCCCCCCGCGTGGGCCTTCGTCGTGCTGGGCTACACACATGACGACGAGTTCGTGCTCATCGGCACGATGGGGGATGCGATGCCGACGCTAGGGGACCAGTTCAGCCAGCCGTCAGGTGCCGCAGAGATATGTGCGATGATTGCCGCGATCCTCTGGCTCTTGCAGCTCAAGGTAGAGGTGGACGAGGAGGGCAAGCACGCGCTGTTGCCAGTGATCAGCTTCTACACCGACAACAACTACGTGGTCGACATTGGGAAGGGAGGAGCCGCGCTGGAGCACTACATGCCCTACGCCAGCTTCCTGGGCAGCATTTTCAAGGTGCGGAGGCATAGCGCGGAGGACATCCTCTGGTCGCACGTCAGCGGCCACATGGCGGACCCGTGGAACGAGCTCGCCGACGCCGTCGCCACGCTGGCCAGGGGCGGCCTAATCGTGTGGCCCAACGACTTCGACCTCTGGGAGCGCATGGAGCAGGTGCTGCCGCAGGCGCCCTGGCTGTGGCTCAGTGTTGCCCCTCAGGCCGAGAGACTTCAATGCCCGCTCCCTGGCCGCCCCGCCCCTGTCCTCGACCCCCCGACCCAGGGCCTCCAGAGTTTCCTCCTGAAACACCTGTCCCAGGGAGAGATTGCCCCGCTGGGGGAGGGCCGAGGCAAAAGGAGGGGCGAGGGGCAACCCAGCAAGCCTCGGAAACTTCGGCTAGCTGTTGCCAATGTCCTGACGCTCGACCCCAGGAAGTCCAGGGTGAGCAAGGGGAAAGCTTTCACAGGTGTCCTCATCCCAGAAAGGATGCAGTCACTGGCGCAGCAGTTCGGGGACGCGGGCTACCACCTGGTCGGCGCGCTCGAGACCAGGGTCCCCGCCGAGTCCGTGGTGAGAGTCGGCCAATACCTGGTGCTCCACACTGCTGCAGCAGAAGGGGGACGCTTCGGGGTCTCGCTGTGGGTCAACACAGTGGGCCAGCTGGGAGAGGACGGCCCCGCCCTGAAGGAGCAACACGTGGCGATTGTGCACAAGGGACCGACCCGCATGCTCGCGTGCATCAGGGCGCCCTTCCTCCACTGTGACATCCTTGTAGGGCATGCCCCACACAGCCACAGGCCGCCAGGCGAGATCAGGGACTGGTGGGAGCACACTCAAAGGATCGTCGACAAGAGGCCCGACCCCAGCCAGTGGCTCTTCACCCTGGTCGACGCCAACGCCCAGGTGGGGTCGGTCCCCACGGTCGGCATCGGAGAGTACGGCGCGCAGAAGGAGAACCTCCCAAGGGCCTGCCTCCGCAAATACGTCAAGCGCACCGGCTCCTGCCTGCCCTCCACGCTGGCCCAGTCCAGAAACAACGTCTACGCCACGTGGACTCCGTCGAGGGCCAGGTCTGCAGAGGTTGGCAAGCGCATCGACTACATTGCGGTACCACAGGAGCTGCTACTGCATGTGGGCGATCAAGGGGTCAACGACAACATCGAGCTCGCGGTCTCCCACAAGGACCACGCGGTGGTGGACCTAGAGGTGCAGCTCCCGCAGGGGCAAGATGGGGAAAGGCCGCCCAGGTGGCAGCGCCCCAGGGTGGACAAGACCAAGCTCACCACCTTCTCATGCCAGGTGAGGTTTGACGAGCTGATGGGGCAGGTGCAGCGCCAGGCAGCGAACGTCCACCCCAACGACCACGCGGACTACCTTGACAGCCAGGTGCTGAAGGCGGCGGAGGAGGCCTTTCCGCTGGAGCCAACGGCGCCAAAGCCGACATGGGAGTCGCCAGCCACGCACGACCTCTGCCACGGCAGGGCGCTCCTCCTAAGGACCACAAGGAGGGCCAGGAATCGCCTAGGCCGCGTCATGCTGGTGGTC